CCTTCGGGTTTTCCATCAACTTCCCACCAACCTCCTTGAAGTCTCATTTGATGCAACGACAACAATGCCCCGCATCCTTTCTTCCACAGCGTGCCTTTGCCCTCCCTCCTTCGAATTCCGTCGAATTCTGGCTAGCCTGCCGCAAGGCGACGCGACATGACACTAATTTCAATTCCCCCCTGCTCAGCCAGCCCGACTTCCGACTTCCCCAACAGATGGTGGCGGCAGAACAACCCTCGCGTGCTCTTGGTGACTTCCCGGCGCTAGTTTGAAGGCGCCGCCGGCTGTCGTGCAATGTCTAGGGGCGTCTCCGCCGGTGGGAGCTGTATACGTATCGAGGATACCAATTTAAATGGTAACTCGGATTTTTCACGCTCGTGTGGCTCTGTGTGGGCGTCAACCGCGTATTTAACACGCGACGGCGGAATACGAACAAGTAATTGCATTGCATTACATTACACGGTCCCGCGGGATTCAACTGCCGCTCTCACGAATTTACGAACCCCGCGTCGCGTCGCGTATTTAACGCGGGGGACACCACTTTCACGCTTGAATTCGTGGAGTCTCGGCTTGCGCGCAGGCTCCGCATGCCCATACCCAGGACTCAGACTCTCCTCGAGGACGGGAATTATGCCACGGACCGACACCACCGACGACACATCTCGAATTAACGACCTCGAACGCGTCGACGTCGCGTATTTAATCATAATGCGGGGCAATTACGGCGAGGGCTTAATTCTCGCTCAACTCCGCCTCGGCCGTCTCGCGGGTATGTAGGGACTCTCTCGACTCCTCGACCGTCCTCGACTCGAGGACGGCCCTGCAGCCAGGCTTGAGGAGCTCTGGCCGTCGCGCCCTTACGTCGTTGTGCCGTACGGCGTCAGGTTCTCCTTCCCTAGGTTCTCAAGTTCTTCACCGCAATGCCATAACCTAACCTAACAATACCAATACCCTGACAAGCCACGAAGAATACGGAGACTCGCCACGATGCTCCCCACCCCCCGCCGGCCCTGCCCCGCCCTGAGCTTCCTGACCTTTCCTGGCTCGGACACAATTAGCTCGGTATTATACGAAACGCCGCACATCCTCCGCCCCGCCAAAAATATACATGTACATATATCACTTCACTTCCCGCTACTTCCGTTGGTCTTGTCAACAACAGACACCTACTTACGACAGATTGTTGTACAACAGCAAGCGCATTTGCAACAGTTACAGCAGCTACAGTAGGTCTAATTTCAACTGGAGCGCGAGTGATACCCGGGGGCCCGTCGGCGGCGGTTGTTCCTCCGCTGGCACTCCAGTCCCAAGTTAGGCCACCGCGGTGCTGCCCAAAGTTGACTGGTCTGTGTCCGAAAGCCGTTGTGGGCGTCGAGCTACTGTACCTTGTTTCCGTGTTTCTGTCACTTGTCCAACTATGCCGAGTCGAATTGAGCTTGAACTCGAACTCGACCCGGACTTGAACTTGAACTCTGCAGAAATGTCGAACTCCACAGAAGGTGAGCAACCGCAGTCAACTCGTTGAACTGGAGGACCGGACCGCATTCTCAACTTGTCCACTCTCCCCCCCAAAAAAAAATTCCAATTGCGCTTTGTAGTCATGCCGTCCGCCGGATTTAAAATCGAATTCAACTTCACCTTCGCCCCGGCCCCTTTCAAACTCAAAAGTTGCGTTCAACCACGTTTCCCGGTCCGATACCGATATATTCAACTCAACCGCCTCGAAAAGGCTAGTCTGAGACTCTCCCCATCATCCGCTAGTCCCGATCCTCCCCCGGCTCCGGCTCCGGCCCGCCACGCTTCAAGCGCACACACTTCCGAATCAGCCCCTCCCATTGGCTGCGGCAATGTTGAAAATCGCGTCTCGACGTTGATGCCAGTGCTGAACATTTGATTGAGGTCGGACCACCGCGCCGAGGGTAGGCGAGCGCACAGCAGACGAGGAGCTTCGAATTATACGTCATACGTGCCAGGTTTCCCTCCGTTGAAACCGTATTGCGGGAGCCCAGTTTTCAATCCAACCCAACTCGTCTCACTTGTTCGTTCCTCCCCCCTGTGCAAATTTTCCTCTCGAATTTCAAACTCTCGCGAATCCCGAATTCCGAATACCGGCCCAACGCCGCCGACCCCCGCGTGGATCTCTCAAGAGACAAATCACGTTCCTGATGCTCTATGCTGTAGCACCCCTTGCGGCTTCGAATACAACAGCGTGCCCATGGAGGAAGCTTGCAATTCATCACTGATTCAACCATTAATATTTGACAAGTTCCAAAGAACAACGCGAAACGATATCTCAAAACGGAAGTACTCGAACCGAGCAAAACCTGTGTTTCAACTTCTTGCAAGTTTCGTTCCTTCTCGCGTGTTTTCTCTCTCTCTCTCTCTCTCTCTCTCTCTGTTCCTCCTTTGTTTTCTTTAGGCGATATACTTATGTACGAACGTCGGACCATAATCATAATCATGAACAGTGGCTCGAAACACTGCACCCGTCCACCCGCAACTCATCGCCCAGCACTAGCGGAACCCGCACCGACCTCCGCATCACCTGCTCAGTGTCCTCCAACTCTGCCGATGCCAACGCCTGCGCAACTCCATCAAGTTCAATTGCAGGTCGAAATTAAACAGCCGCCGGTTGAAACGACCCGCGTGCTCCTCGCAAATCCTCCTTCATCTACGCGACCGGCTCGAGTTTCTTTGACAATATCTTTCGAGAAATCCACGTTCGTGATCTTTCGTGATGTTCTTGTTCCGGTCCGGTGTTATTGCGCTCGCCAATTCAGTCTGCACGGTGAGAGGCGAGAGAGAGCCCAGCCCCGCGGGCTCGGCACAATGGGGAATCCTTCGGCGGAACCCCCCATTGGCCCTGATATATTTGTTACATACATTGATGCAGCATGTTAGCGTAGCGCCTCAGTTACCAAGAAGGAACTCTGAAAATTAATATCTACCTGTTAGCGTAGCGTACGGAATAATTAGATCTGAAATAAAATATTGTAAAGGAATGGATGTACACCTCAGTTACCAAGAAGGAACTGAGGCTAATAAGCAAGTGTCGTAAACTAGGTAGTAGACTGTAGTAGAGGATTCGAGGAATGACGGGATGATTGAAAGGATAAATGTATGTGAGGTAAGTAATATGATTACACTGCTAACACAGCATGCATGTAGATGTGTAAATAGAGAGTGGATGAAAATGTATGTAGCAAGGGGCTTCGAACCAGCTGCGTTAAAACCCTTCCTGAGAAAACCTTGTTGAGGGAAAACCCCAGGTAAGGGGAAAAGCATAAAGGCTGGGCAGGAGAAAGGTAGATATAAAAATTGCGGGATGGGTGGGGGGACAAGAAAATCAAGGCTTGTGAGCTGCAAGCCATTGCAGTCAAGAGCATTCTGATCATTGATTCACAAACCCTGTTCTCCTGATCACTTTTACCGCATGAGAGGGAGAATATCAATTTGTGGATTGTGCTCACTGACTCAGTCTGTACGGTGAGAGAGGCGGGAGAGAATCCTTTGGCGGAACTCCAACGAGATGGTAGGAGTGTGTGACACATCCGCAGAAGGATCCCCATGAAACTAGGAGGATACAATGCACCGGCGAGAGACTGAGAGTATGACCGGCAGCCTATCCAGCACACCACAAGCCAGATGATATGGATGAGGTCCTGGTGTGGATACCCGAAAGTCTAGGAGGAGTCAACACATCCTAACCAGGAACCCTAGGAGTTGACTGAGCAGTGCTCAGAAGGTCCAGAATCCAGGTAGATAACAGAATGCAATGGGGGGAGGGTTATGTATACTCACATAGACCACAACCTGATCAACAAGTTACCAAAGACAAACAAGTAGGTACATAAGGGTGGTTATCCTTACAAAGATACTAGTAGATGCCACCAGAACACACACTCATTTGAAATAGCATAGTAATAGAAAAGCCTAGTGGGATCACACATATGGGGGATGTACTATCCCGCACGGGCCAATGTTTTGGAATGTGCGCCCAAAGGCACAGAGGACACAATATGTATGAGGGAAGTACCATCTCATGCCAGCTGATGTGGATGTGGATGTGATGCATGCCTGAAGGTGTAGCAGATGTGGCACATATGGGGGAGATACCATCTTGTGCTGGCCAATGTCCAAAGGTGTAGCAGACATGGTGTGCATGGGGGAAGTACCATCTCACACCAGCCAATGTGTTTGGAATGTGTGCCCAAAGGCATAGAGCCTATGATAGAGGACACGGCATGTATGTGGGAGGTAGTGTTTCGCACCGGTTGATGTAGATGTGATGCTGTTTATTTGTAGCAGAAATGACAGCCTGTGAGGTGTCTTGAATCTACTCGGGGGAAAAATGCGTACCAAGTTTCATCCCGATGACTGGGTGGATACCTCCAGGAATCCAGATGGTTGAGATCCTGTGAGCCCAGGAGAGGACCAACAGTTCTGGCAACAGTAGGAGGGCAAGCATAAATAGGAGTTGCACTAGAGGCACCCAATAGTAGACAAACCAGTAGAATCAGCAAAGCCCAGAGAGTGTTGTTGTGTGCCCCAGCATGGTAGATGAAGCAGTCTGTATTTGAAGAAGCTCCGACAGTGGTGGACATAGGGACATGGAGGACTCAAGGATAGCGACAAGCATTGAAAGCACCCTTAGGGGCCACTGGACTGGACATCACACCAGGAGGACTCCATAGACAGATAGATGCCGACCTGCCAGCAAGAATGACAAGAAAATCAAGGCTTGCAAGCTGCAGTTGACATTGGAGTCAAAAGCAGAGACTCTGATTGTTGATCTTCACTGATTCACAAACCCTGTTCTCCCAATCACTTGTATCACATGAGAGAGATAATGTCAAAACATGAGCAGGTCAAGGTACAAGGAAATTGGCCTGAACTTGAGGAGACCTCCAAAAAATCTTGGATTTTGCTAGAGTGGAAACAGAAGGACAGGGAAGGGTAAAAACAAGGAAAAAGAGGGAACAAAACGAGTGTAAAAAGAATGGACAAACTGGGAATCGAACCCAGCACCTCCCGCAATTCCGGTCACGTGACCAGTTTTTTTTTCCCAAGAATGCGAAGCGGGCGCGATAACCAACTACACTATTTGCCCGATAAATGACACCCGATGTGAGCGAGCTACATTGGATAGCTACAAGTGCGGCGCAGAGTTCTTTAGTGCCTTTAAGTGAGTTCAGGCAAGCGGTAAATTAATTCTGGTGGGTGGACTCGGCTTCAGTGCCCCCATTGCCTTTGGGAACCCGATACTAGTGAGTGTGGCTGATGGTTGGATCTGTGAGGCAAATCGAACAATTGAACTTGCATTCAACCGTGGCAACGACTCTAGTCTTAGATCACCTGGGCCCAGGCATTGGGCACGATAGCCAAGTACGTACGCTATTTGCTCTGCGGAGTCGGTGACACATTTTCGAAACGACTTCACTCACCAACGTAAACGTCAGTCAGGCCAGGCACTTTCTTTGACCGGTTTGAAGACCAACGGATCCAAGGGGCAGAATCGGATACGATATTCGGAAAGATTATTGAAGTTCGAGTACTGGAATCTATGTTGAATCGAATTCGTGCTCGTGTAGAACTCCCCGGAAAAACAAGCGGAAACCCGGGGACACAACCTTTCCGACGATATCAGTATTCCCGAAACTGAAGAATCGCCAAGCACTTTACAAACATCACGGGCTCCTCTTAATGCGGGTTAACATCAAGTACGCGCCGGTTCACCGCTTCAGATTTCCTTGGCATTTTTTGAACTACAGTGCAACAATGTTCCCGCACTTGTCATTTATGCGGCAATTGTTACCCACGCCTGAATGTATTTCGAGCGAGGAGCCAACGAAATGTTGTTATTTCGATACCTTTGATGTTCCGGTGGAAGAAGCCGTTGTTTGCGATGCATTCCGTCCCACAAGCACTCAAGCCTGAATCGTTCCAAAATAAACCTCTATTTCACGCGTCTCAATGCGCATAGAGCGAACGAGACCCTCTCGAAGTCCCTCGTTCTTCATTCACAAACCACGGACAATCATATCACACAAACCCTACGCCCTCCCATCTCTTCCCGTCTCGCGCAGGAAACAGCGTGGCGTGGCGTCCGTTGGCCCTGACAGTACCTCCACCTTCTGCTCCAGTGGGGACTTGCACAGCTCGCTTCGGCCCCATACCGGCGGTTCCTGCGAAGGAGAAGTGAGTAGAAGCAATGAAAGTGAGCAGAAGCGCGGTGGGTGGTGCTATACTTGGAACATTTGGGCTTCGACCGGGTCTTCCTGGGACTCGACCTCGGGTATACGCACGGCGCCCGGAGCGAGTGCATCTATCGGAAGATGTAGCCTTACAAACCTTTAATTTCGCGTTGCTTCGAGGGCCAGAAACGAGAAACCAGCAACCATAATCCGGCGCAGCAGGACATTGGACGGTATCAGTTGTGGATGCGACGAACGTGTATGCCACATCCTCTTGGAAAATGGTGCGTGCCCGGACAAGATAGCGCTTAGGCCAAACCGTGGCATCGTGTTATTCCCATCCTATCCAATAGCACTTCGCACCAGAAGCCAGGTCGCGCGCACATACGGAGAGTATCCCCGGGCCCCGACGGTTCTAGGGCAGTTCCAGCGGGGGATTCCGAAGCTAGCGCTTTGTGCGGGACTGTGCGCTGCGCGGCTCAAGGATAACAACGGTGGGCACTGATTGCGATAGATCACCCCGCATTCTCAGGATGTCAAGACGCGGGACCGCGAAAGTGCGGGGAAGCAGGTTCGCGCGCCGATCAAGATCGATTGAAGGCGCATCGGTGGGGAGATGAATTAATGAAATTCATTACCTTCAGTTGGCAGAGTGTAATATATGCAAATCAGATCGCGAGCCAGATTTCATGCGGGAAGAAAATATGGCCATTGAGAGCGGATATCTGGCGAGTATACGCCCAGTGGCGGCCCGCGACGCAAAATAACAACATGACGTATGGGGCAGATCGGCACGAAATTCCTGGCCAAGCTGCTGGCGCCCCCGATCTCGAGCTCGAGGATCTGAGAAGAGTGAGTGTACGTTAGATCACGATCGGCGGCCCTCTGTAAGGAAATTTCCCACTTCGAGGTTATCGATGGGCGATATAGTCTCGACAACGCAGTTATGGGGCGTTGTGTAGACCTGTTTTATCATTCGCATTTGACATTGCGCCGTCTTGAGTGGTTGTTGGACTGGCAAAGTCTGTGCTATCGATGGGACTGTGATCTCTAGGTTCCAAATACATGAGTCGGCAGCCGTACACGCAGTATAGGGCGAGACACTCCGGTACCAATTGCAGCTGGGAACGACGACGAAACCTCAGAATGTTTGTGGGATACACTTGTCGTCGCGATCTTACCACGCGAGAATTCTTACTGCGGTACTGGTTTTATAGATAGACCTAACGGCACACGGCGTGAGGAGCGAGAAGCACAGAACGACGGATGCAGCGCAACAGCAGCGTCGCGGGTTCCTCTGATTTTATGCCGTCCGCGGGTGCAGTAAAGTTTCAGAGTATGATTATTCGAAGAAGAATATTGGGCGGAAATCTATGAAGAAGTTCAGGTCTTTGTCCACAAAGGGCAAGGAGGAACTTACATATAATTATACAACATGATGCTTGGGTCAGCTGTGGCGGGAATTGGCCGTGCGCTACAGGAAGAAGGTCAACATCTGAGAAGCAATACTTGACATTACACACAGGTACGTGGACAACATTCGGATGAGAAAATGCGAGAGTATTGTCGAGAAGAAGCCATCTAGGACAGACGATGAGTGTACATTCAGACAACTTGGAAGACGAGGCAGTACCTTCGCCAACCGTTCATGGAGACCTTGGTTTCTCCTCCGGAGCCTCCACCAATGGATGAGGTGATGGTGGCTGAACCATATGAAAAACCCCGAGGATGAAGAAACGGCCTATTGATCCCAGCAACGCGCCAGTGATGCACGCTACGCCGAGAAACGCGTATGCGGGGTAGAGCGCATCGGAGAGCCACAAGATCGCGCGATATGGCGAGTATACGGTGATTTCGAGGAACAGCTGTACAAATATGATGACAGGGGCGAGAATATAGAGCAGAACTGGGAACGGAGAGAGAAACACGATGGGGTGGGCGGCGATCTTGCCAGCGAAGGCTACAGCGGAAAAGATGGCACGAGAGAGGGAGAGCGCGGAGGAGAGTATGAGTACAGCGGCGGACTTCACATATGGAAGAGCTCGAGCCAAGGCCGGGGCATCTGTGGCTTGGACAGCACTCTGGAGGATGGACGCCATAACTTGAAGACAGCGGATCGGGCGATGCCGTGGGTCACGTGTAATATTTCACAACTCCTTCATCCACATGCATCGCAGTCTGCAAAGCCCTGAAATCGTCGCCTTGATATGCCGCCAACTTTTACTCGCCTTCGGGGACTGGTCAGGGCCCGAGTTTAAGTGGGAGAAAGAAACTTGGGCGGCTCTCGATGCCTTTGTCCGAACTTGCAAACTTCAAAGTGTTCAGCAATCCGGCTCTCGACATTATGTGGTGCAACGCTGGACATGTAAAGAATGTTCTCCGTTTTCTTCCCCATGGCGCTTGGGATGGAATTGACGAAGATTCGGTACGCTGCCTAGCGACGAACCACTACAAATAATTAATCACTTCCCAGGCTTTTCACAAACCCCTCGTGCACAGCGATTGGGATCGCGTTCGGGTGTACTCTGGGAGAGTGAAATTCTTCCGCTTTGATCAAACTCTGTACAAGGAAAAGGCTCTGGAGACTTTGCGGGTGTGCTTCCCGGGCCAACACTTGTTCCCGAATATCGAGACTCTCGAGTGGCACGTTGAGAACGAGCCGGAACTCATTCCGCACGTCCTGCTTTTCCTTGGACCGAGGCTCACGACCTTGTCTCTTTCACTGGACACAATTCCACATCTATCATTGCTAGCGACTGTGGCAAAACAATGTCCCTCGCTGACCCACGTCGGGCTCGTATTATCCATCGCATTGGAGAACGACAATATCGATCATTTCCGTAGTGTTTCCTGGTTCTTACGGAGTCTGAAACATCTTGAGGATGTTACTGTCCCATCTCTCGACCGGGCGGCATTGCATTACATCGCAGAACTGCCTACAGTCGTCTCTTTGCATTTGACGGAACAATTCCCTATCACCATACCGACCACACCCGGGAGCCGATCTTGGAATACCTTTACATGACAGGGAACAAGATGAATGTGTTGAGCGGCATCATAACGTTGCTCAAGCACGCGCCCATCACCTGCATTGCGGCGACCCGGCCCAAACGCACGATATCCGACAAGATCGCCCAACTTTATGTCGCTGTCGTCGCCAACTGTTCACGCAGTTCTCTGTCAGAACTGTTGCTGAGTAGTGAATCGTCCAAGAGGCGAGTCTCTGGTAGAGCCTCCACTGCGCGTGACTGGATTAGCAGCCTCCAACTGCGTCCACTCTTCGCCTTTTCCAACCTCACCCATGTCAAGCTTTCTGCACCCGCTGGCTTCGCTCTCGACGACGCCACGGTCGCAGACATGGCTCGTGGCTGGCCGCGTATCGAGATACTTGGGCTCTCCAGCATGGAGTACGCACATGTCCAATCAACCGTCACCCTGGGCGCATTGATGCACTTTGCGCGGCATTGTCCCAATCTCTGGCGGCTGAATCTATTTTTTGACGCGACCGCGCCCGTTCCGGAGTTGCAGGCTGGAAACCAGCGCCTCCGACAGCAACACCTCGAGAGCCTGGATGTCTGTCGCTCCCCAGTTGCGACACCCCTCGCCGTAGCAGGTTTCCTCTCGAGGGTCTTCCCGAAGTTAATGTCTGTGGGAGCTCACTGGGGCAATGCGTACGCCGACGACGACGTGCACAAGGACTGGTTGGAGGTCAATAAGGTGCTGCCTGCCTTGCAGAAGGCGCGTGCGGAGGAGCAGGAGTACTGGGCCCGACGCGAACAGAGTTAAGAGTACTCTAGATCTGGCCGCTAGTTGCTAGTTCCCGTATGTGTACACCTGTTATCAGACCTTCTGATGTGCTGAAACTCGGTCGTGTTGCTACACAGGATGTTCCACTATTTCTGCAACCTTGGCGCAA